AGAGGAGAGGAGTGGTTGAGGTAGAGGAGAGGAGAGGAAGAGGATGAGGAAGAGGAAGAGGAAGAGGAATAGGAAGAGGAAGAGGATGAGGAAGAGGAAGAGGAAGAGGAAGAGGAAGAGGAAGAGGAAGAGGAAGAGGAGGAGGAAGAGGAAGAGGAAGAGGAAGAGGAAGAGGTTGAGGAAGAGGAAGAGGAAGAGGAAGAGGAAGAGGAAGAGGAAGAGGAAGAGGTATAGGAACAGGAAGAGGAAGAGGAAGAGGAAGAGGATAAGATAATAATGAACAGACAATGGAGGAGGAGGTGGTGGTGATGGAGGATACTGGGACAGAAGACCTGAAAAATGTTGACTTGAGCTGCTCCATACTCAACTCTTCCGCTAGAGCTTCGGAGGGAGATATTGCCCTGCACTCCAACCACACGCCGGTGAGAGAGGAAAGGGAAGTTGAAGATTTAGATGAAGACGAAGATGATGAAGACGAAGACGAAGATGAAGATGAAGATGAAGATGAAGATGAAGATGAAGATGAAGATGAAGTGGAAGAAAGCATCACCTGCACATAAAACCACGATCCTGTCAGCTGCGGACTCTGAGACACATCCCCTCCTCCTCCTCCTGTCTCGAGCGTGCAGTTGGTACTGCAACCGTCTCCATTTCTCCTGTTCCCGTCGTCGCACTGCTCCTTCCCCTTCACCAGCCCATCCCCACAGACTGTAGTGCAGTAGGAGGCGTTCTGCGCAGTGATGGTGCATGAGAAACCTGCCTCGATGGTACAGATGCTGCTGCATCCTAGGGAGAGGTCAGAGAAGAGCTCTAAGAACATCAGTGGAAAGAGGAGCAGAGCGACGGGGGTGGGGGGGACAGCAGGAGCAGGAGGAGAAAAGGGAGTAGACGATATAGAGAAAGGTACGCAAGCAAGAGAACGAAGGAGAATCAAGAAAAGGGACAGGGAAAATACGAGAATAAACTGGATGCAACGAGCAAGGGGAAGAGAGGGAGGAGGTGAGAGGGGTTTGCAAGGGGAGGACGAGGGAAGGGCAGGAGACAAGAGGGCTGACCATCTCCGTTCACATGATTGTTGTCATCGCACAACTCCGACCCCACCACAAGTCCATCACCACAGATGGGCGAACAGAAGGAGAAGGAAGGAACCTGAAGCAAATCACCCGCCTTCTCCTCCTCCTCCTCCTCCTCCTCCTCCTCCTCCTCCCCCTCTCCCTTCTTGCCCCCGCCCCGCCCCTGCCTCCTCTCCGTCTCCCCCTTGCACCTTGCAGAATTCTCTACAACTGTTGGAGCAGGTGAAGCCTCGCTCGACGGAGCAAGAGGTCGAGCACCCGTCCCCCCCTCTCAGGTTCCCGTCGTCGCAGCCCTCCGTCCCCTCTGTCGCTCCATTCCCGCACGTGGAGCGCATGTAAACTTTCAACTTCGAGTCTCCAACATCTGAGATCATCAGCGGATTCCCTCGCTCATCGTACGCCATCCCTGCTGGAAATGTCAGCCTTCCCCTCCCCACCCTCCCGTCATGTCGCTCCCCCTCGCTCTCCTTCACGTCACCTTCGGGATCAACGAAGGCGCTGCTGGAGGAGGAGCTTCCTGGAGCAGTTTCGATCCGACCAGAGGAGAAGTCGATCATGCGCAGGCGGTTGTTCCCCTTGTCGATGAGGACGATGACGTTGACTCGCTGCGGGTTGAAGGTGATTCTCTTTGGCCTGTTCAACTGCATCTCAACATGTCAGCCTGACGTTCGTCCTCTTCACACAGCACCTTGGATGTGATGAGTAGCCCGTCTTGGAAGCCCGCAGTGCATCCCGACGAGCTGCAACCTGAACCTGCTACCGTCGAGACTCTCCCTTGGAACAGGTCGATTCTTCTAATCGCGTGGTTCTGCGTATCTGCCACCATGACGAGCTTGTTTTCGTTGGTAAAATCGGGATGTGCAGTGATGCCGGTCGGGTTGTAGAACAGCGAGGCAGCAAGCAAGCCATCCGCATACCCTGATCTTGTGGCACCTGCGATGGTTGTGACGGTCATTGCTGTTAGGTCGATTTGCCGTATCATGTTGTTGCTCGTATCAGCCACGAAGATGAACTTGTCCTGGGGATCCAGAGCGATGGACGTCGGGCTGTTGAAGGAAGCAGCACTTGCAGGTCCATCCTGACTTCCTAGGCAGCTGCTGCTGCGAGGGCAGCCAGCTATCGTTGTGACCACACCTGTCATCGCATCGATGCGCCTGATTGCATGATTGTTGGTATCTGCCACTGCAAGCCATGAGCCGTCTTTCGAGAACGCGATGTCCAGCGGACTGTTAAACCTCACGATCTTAGCCTGTCCATCTTGATACCCGGCGCTTGAGGGACCAGCAAGATGGCTCGGATTCAAGTCGCTCTTTGACAGCGAGTAGAGGTCAACTCCGAAGGGGCCCAGCAAGGTTTCCCAATACACTACAGCTGCAACATAGCCTTCGTTTCCACCATAGTCATGCACAGAGCATGCGTATGCGTTGCGAACTGAGGAGGCCAACGTAGTGACGCTCCAGTCATCCGCGAGGGAGAGCGCTAGGCAGGAAAGCAAGGCAAGAATAGGTCCTAGACTAGATGCCAGCGCCTTCATAGAGCGACGTGATGTACTCTCCGAGTTTAAGTTTCAAAGTTCTCATACCATCTTTTGTTCTGTTCTTTTCTCAGTTCTGTTCTGGTCTGTTCTCAATTCTGTTCAGTTCTGTTCGGTTCTCTGTTCTGTACTGCTCTCAGTTCTAGTTCTGTTCTGTTCTCAGTTCTGTTCTGTAGGTTTGTTGCCGCCTCATTCACACTGCATCATTCCATCTCATCTCAAACTGCCATCAATTTGGGTTGTGACTGCACTCCAGCGACTCCCGGCTACAGTCCGTCCAGCCTGATCGGACCGGGCCTCGGCCGGGCCCCCGGCCCGGCCCGGCGGCCGCACTGTGACCCGCCGGTCTTCCAGTCGAAGTTCAACTTACCTTAGAGTAAACTTGAAAGGCCCTCAAATTCAATCGGAGTAAAATGTTGTCCACGTACTGATTTTCAACTTAACTTCAGTGCCTAGGTGTAGCAGTCACGGCGGCCGTTATGTCACCGGGCCCGGGCCGGGCGGCGCCCGGCCGGTCGGGCGAGTACCTTGGGCTGATGTATAAAGGGGTATAAGATGTATAAGGTATGTATAAGCTCAGGGCGAAGGGGCGCCATGTCTCACAGCCTGTCGGGGGGTAGACGGCTGCTGGTCGGCTGCCTGCTGCTGCTGCTGCTGACAACACAAGCGAGCGAGGGAGCGAAGATGCCGGCTGCTGCCAGCAGCTCACAGACGAGGGGGAGCCAGGACAAGCATGTCGGGTTCAAGACGCTCGTTAGGGAGTCGAAGGATGCAGAGAAGCTGCTGTCTGCGTCCAAGCAGGAGGCCGAGAAGAGCCGCATGCAGCGCGACGCCATCGCTCAAGACCTGGACGAGCGTCTGGTACAAGACCCCAACGCTCTCCAGTGCAAATGCAATCATGCGGCCCGCTGGGCAATCGTCAAGAAAGCAAAGCAAGTGCTGCTCAAGGAGGAAGGGGCCCCAGACTCTGCGGATGCGAGCGAGGGTTGTCCTTGCAAATCGACGCTGGTTCAAGCAGTCACTAAGGTGTTGGAGCAGAAGTTGAGCCTGCTCGAACAACAGCTCGGATCACGCACGTCTGCGGAGCTCGCAATGCAGAGAGCTTTGGTGGCTATGCGCCTTCCCAAGTTCCTTGCAGGGGATCTCGCGAAAGAGTTGGACCAGAAGTTGGCCGCCAAAGCCAAACTGAGTCATGCGAGCGCCAGTGAGCCAGATGAGAATGAAGGCGAGGAGGACGAGGAGGCGAAAGGAAGCGACGTTGACGTGCCTGAAATCAATGTGGTTGTGAACAACAACATGGATGGGGAAGAAATGCAGGAGGAGAGTCAAGGGAACAGCACTTTCAATCATGATTACCATCCCTACTTCCATGCCTACAAATATCCTCCATCATACATCCAAGGAGATCAAGAGCACACCTCGTCAGGGAAAAGACCTTACATTGGGCGAAACTACAACATTGTGGTCAATGTGAACAACTTCTTGGAACCAGGGTATCATCGACCCTTGTGCACTACCATCCCTTGCTCGAGGATTATTCAAGCGCAGCATCATCTTCACAGACAGTTCTTGAACGAGGACAAGGAACACAGTGGAAGTATCAAGTCACTTTGTTGAATTCGTGTTTCACTGACCTCCTGTTCTTAGAACCGTCACAAGCGATGTACGCTGATAAGGTATGGGTGCCACACTGCGAGCGGAAGATTGCTGATGATGAGCAGCAGGCTGCAACGCGTAAGTTAGAGAAAGTAGAGACCTTGAGACCAGGTTTCGATTGATTGTTATGCGTTTTTGCTATCTTTGCCATTTGTTGTGTTGCACGATACTGAAGGTGACTCAGATACTGCTAAATCGACATCAAGTGACCCAACGCATCAAGCCCATGTTGTAAGTTCAAGACGAGCACGTCTTCTGATGCTCACTCGCGTCTCCTAGGAGAAGGCGAAGACGGTGCAGGGCAAGGGAAAGTTCGAAGATGCTCGAGAAAGGCTGAAGGAGGCTGCTGAAACTCTGGAGAAGATTGCAGAAGACAAGGCTGCGAAAATAAGTCAGTGCCGCTGACTTGATCTCGAAGGAACTGAAGACTTGTTAGGATCAAACATGCACCAAGTCCAGAGGAGCGTACCAGAGCACCCCAAGGATAAGATTCAATTTGCAACCAGAACGACCAAGCTGCATGAATTCACCGATCGCTTTCATGTTATCTTACCGAAACCATTGAAGACAAGTGTGTGAAGATCACCTGGAAGGGATGATGTTTGTTTCGTTGACCGCTCTCCTCAGAGAAAGTCTCCAAGTGGGTCAACCCGAGATCTCTGCTCGGGCACAGGTCCTCATGTCACAAGTCTCTTGACTAGCGATGCTTACACATCTAAAGGGGCAAATCTGAGGAGTTAAGTGGAGATGAGGCAAGCAAGGACTTGTCAAGCTACTTCAATGCTTTCAGCAACCATCGGTGCGCAACTATCTTGCTCTACTCAGTTTGTGTACTGACATTACACGTTGCTAGGAAAACAGTGAAGGTGAAAATCTCAGAGTGTGCACGAAAGTGCTTGTAAGCTTGTTGATTGCAGCATGGCCAAAGTCAAGGGAATATCAAGCGATCAACAGGATCCGTAACATGGCATGCGCCTAAACCGGAGGGGTAAGTTGCTCTTGCTGCCCTGCCTCCCTTCCCTCCTCTCCCTCACCTCCTCACCTTCTTGAATGGTTGAGATTCCTGACTTGCGTCTGCAGGGAAACAGACAGGAGAGCAAGACATGACCTGTTCTCTTACTTCGATCACTTGGCCCCTCACCCGAAGCAGCACATCAACACTTGGCTGGATGACTCGCACGTCCTCCCTTCTGTTGACAACCGCTTTCATGCAAATGAAGTGATTGTTCGCTCTGTTGAAAGTCTCGTCTGATGAATGTATGGTAGAAGCGAAGAGTTAGCAAGAACTACCATTACATATCGATAGGTGAGTCCTGTAAATGATGGGTTGGTTATAATACCTGTGATTTCGTTTTTTGTGTTATCTGAGCGATCCTGTTGATGATGATGATGACAACGTCAACGTCAACGAAGACGGACCATGACGATGATGTGCCTTATCAGGCGCAGAGGGGCACAACAACGCGATGCACGACATCAATCAATACTATAACTCATTAGAGGACAGGCAACGTTAACTTTGTTTCGCTGGAGTGAGGACTGATGGTGTTGGCAGGACGGGAAAACACTGATGTTGCTGATCACCAGCTTTATCGACCTGATGTGAAATAAACTGGACAAAAAACGCAGTCACAAGACTTGTTGTTTAGCTTTGTGCACATCACATCTGGACTCATGAAAAATGATCAAGATGCCCACGATGCCTGATACTATTTGCTGTTGGCCTTTAATCTCAAAAGTAACAGCATCACACAAGTACCGATACACAACTGAAACAACGATAGCTCAGCGTGGATAAAATGGGTCGATATTTTCTGCAATCTGACTAGCACTTGTTCAGCAACCTGCGAATGAGTGATCTTGGTCCTTCATCTCCGCTAGGCTCCAAACGATGATGTCAGATCCAGCCGTGACTCAGATACACTTAGAGAGCAGCGAGAGCGTCTAGCTTAGCCTTGGGTCTCCTTCTTCTTGTCTTCTGGGAACTTAAGGTCGTTGATGATGCCGACTCCGATCGTGTTGCCTTGGTCGCGAAGCATAAACCTTCCCATCTGCGAAAAGTCCTTGTATCGCTCAACACAGACGCTACGATGCATCTTGACTCGAACAATAACCGAGTCTCCTTGCTTGCAGAACTTGGGATCCTTCTGCTTGATCTGGCGGGTCTTCTTGTCCAAGATCCCAATCAACTTGTAGAAAGTGCATTCTTCGATCGCAGAATGGATGTGAAGAACGCAAGAGTATCCTGCGCAGATAATGGTGGGGTAGTCAAGGATCTGGACGGTAGCATCGAACCAACGGCAAGGACGGCACATGTTCTCCGGACGGCAAATCACAAACCCAAGACGGAGAGATTCTTCTTCAACTCCCTTGAGCTTCATCTTGATGTTATCGCCAGGCAAAGCTTCACTGAGCTCGATCGAGCCATCCTTGTGGTCAACGAAAATCTCTTCTACACTCACACTCGTCTTGTTAGGAAGAACAACGAGGTTCTCACCCTTGCGGATGGTTCCGGCTTCCAGTTTGCCCATCACACAAGTTCCCATCTCCTTGTACTTATCTGCGATGGGAAATCTAAGAGGCAAGTCAAAGAATCTCTGAGCCGGTTGGAGCTGGTCCAGAAATTCGAGGAGCGAAGGCCCGTTGTACCAGGGGCAAATCTTAGTGTCAACTCTGGTCTTCAAGTTGGCACCCGTGAATCCAGAGACGGGCATGAAGAAGACATCGGTTTTGGTGTTGAAACCAGTCTGCTTCAGGAAAGGCTCCAAGATGTCACAAACTTCCTTGTATCGAGCTTCATCCCAAATTCCGCCCTCCAGACAGACCGAAGGATCGTCCATCTTGTTAATGGCGACAATCAAGGTTTTGACTCCAGCAGTCTTGGCAAGCACAGCATGCTCACGAGATTGGCCACCACGGTCAAAACCTGCTTCGAACTCTCCTTTTCTGACAGAGATCACGAGAACAGCAACATCCGCTTGAGCTGCACCTCCGATCATGTGAGGAACGAAGTTCTTGTGACCAGGCGCATCGAGGATTGTGTAATTCTTCGCTTCAGTTTCAAACGCTCCTCTGCCACACTCTTGAGTCTTTCCTTTTGCACGCTCCTCATCAGTTGTGTCCATACACCACGCAAATTTCCAGCTCTCTCTGTGTTTGGCCTTGGCTTCCCTTTCATACTTTTCCATTGTTCGCTCATCAACTTGTCCGGAAAGATACATGATATGGCCACTGATGGTCGACTTGCCAGCGTCGACGTGTCCCACAAAGACAATGTTCAAATGGCGTTTCAGAGTTTTGCCTTGGACATGCGGTCTTTCTTGCGTTTTCCCTTCAATGATCTCTTCCTCCTCATCCTGTATGGCGGGTGGTCAACCCAGAAACACAAGGAACAACAAATGGAGAGATTCACCTCTTCCAGGAGACCCTCAGCTTTCATCTTGGCAAGCTCAGCCTTCAATTCTTCGTCGTTGATCTTGAGAAAATCAGGCTACAATGCGTCATGTTTGTATTGCACCTTCAATTCAGACGTTGACTTAGTAGCACTGTCGACTGGATCTGTCTTCTCCTGCAGTCTAGTGAACGACGATATCCATGCCAAGGGAAGTTTTAGTTACTTTAGGTGGCTCTGGGGCCTCTGGAGCAGCAGTTTTGACATCAACATTTGCTTCCTCTTCCCAAGATTCAGAAGCCTCTTCTGCAGGCTGTAACAGGACTTCAACACTTTTGGCAAACCTCTAGGTAGCAAATAAACCTTCTCGGTTGCGGCGGATGGAGCCACTTGACCCGGAACAAACACGAACGCATTGGGGTTGAAGGAACCGGCCTGGATGCAGCATGTCACTGTTGAATGTTTGCGAAAGATGCAATTTTACCGAGGGATTCAAAGGCATTTCACTCAAGACAGATTTCAAGCACACGGGTCAGTAAGTAAGCTCTGATACAGTTTCAAGTGTCCTGAGTATAAGTGTCATACTTTGAACTCATCGAAACTTGTTCAGTCGTTTAAAACACATAATGTTAAAGAAGCATACATTGTGTGTGAAATATTTAGGGTCTTGAGGAATCACAACTCTACGGATAGAAGAAATCACTTTGTGGACGAACGCGTTGGGATAAACATCAAGAATGAGAAGAAGACAAAAAGACAGAGGAATGCTTGATCAAGCCTCGCTCAGGTAATCTGATCCTATGCGGAGCCATCTTACAGGGATAACCCCACTTGATATACCCTTCAGCTTCGTCAAAGAGTGACGGGCTCGTAAAGCGAAGGATTGGATAAACAGGTAAGGATTGACTGGAACATATCTATGTTCTTCTGCACATCACCATGCGCATCTTCCTGTTCCTGAGCTTTACCTTCTGATATTCTTCTTTGACTTGTTCCATTCCCTCTGTTCCACCATTCTCTCCAGGCCCCATGGCCTTCTTTCCTTATGTTGCCCCCATACTCCTTTGTCTCCTGTCTCTCCTGTCTCTCCTGCTCTCCTGTCCCTCCTCATCCTGCTCATTCTCTTGCTCCTGATCGTGCACCTGCTCCTGCTCCTGCTCCTGCTCCTGCTCCTGATCGTGCTCCTGCTCCTGCTCCTGATCGTGCTCCTGCTCCTGCTCCTGCTCCTGCTCCTGCTCCTGCTCTTCATCCTGTCCCGCTCTTCATCCTGTCCCTCTTGTAGCGTGAGGGATTTTCTCCATCGCGCAGGGAGTGCCACGTGCCCACGATTGGAGGGGTGGGTAGGTAATTTGATCGGGGTGATGGTTCTAAAAATGATGGGTAGGGGTACAATCATTGTGTATGAAATGAACCAGGGGTGGTATCCTAGTGACCCTGAACCCCTGGTGAGACACTTGAGCAATATGGGGTAAGAATGGGAATCCTTGAGAAGTACCCCCCATTGCTTCACACTTGATCTAATGACGGGTCATGTTGTCAGGGTAGATTGAAGTTGGATCAGGGTGGTACAGGAAGGTTTGCATTCAGGGGTGGGGTATCAATGTTCCAGGGTAGGTACAATCAAGGGAGGTCGGGGGGTAGGGGTTAAAAAGACTTTTGCGTCAGGAATAGGAGGAAAAAGTCCCTCCATCAATTTCAACAGGAGTTTTACTTTTCAAATTTTGTCTAAAATTTCAAAAGTAGCGCAGATCATTTAAGGGGTTAACTTGTGTGACCTTGCCTCAGATTCTTTGAAACGTATGTTCTTTATTTCAGAACTTATCAAGTATAATATTCAAAAATTACTGTATATTTCAATTAAAGTCTGCCTGGGGCAGCAAAGTGGTAATTACTGATAATTGTGGATGGAGGAAACGAAATGTTTACTTATTAATTAGAGGCTGCTGGACCGGGTGATCTAGGTGGAAGACGATGTGCCCGCCATGGCGAGATGTGCGGGCGCGCGACAGTCAGGAAACTTCAGCTGATGTCCTCATGAGGGTTGAGATGGTTGATCATTCCAAGGATTCCATTGCCCCCCTGTAGGAAGAAGCCAAGAATACCGGAGTTGGCTAGAAGTAGATGGATGGAGGTTGGGCAAGAATGAGACCGGTAGGGGAAGTTGGTTCCTGTGTGAAGCAGCGGCTCCTGCTGCCTTCCTCGACCTCAACGATATGAACTCTCCTCTTGAGCTCATCGTTTGCTTAGATTCTGTCCTCTTTCAATCATTGTCATTGGTCTCAAGATCGCTGAGAACAAAGTTTGAAATTGCTGTACTGCAGGTGCAAGGAGCGCACCGCATGCCCGAGACTATTGTGCAAGCCTGGACGAGGAGCTCGTAGCGCACGATGAGAGCATGAGGGAGGCAGGGACTAGCAAAGTTTGCTGTTGATCAAACACCAGAGCATCGGTGTGTGAGAATCAGGGAGGGTAGAGTACCATTCAGCAATCTAGGGATCTTGAGGGTGAGGAGTCTCCATTATTTCACGAGTGAGAGGATCGATCTGGAGTGCAGCTTCAAGTGCAAGATTCACCAAGAGAATCCGGCGGAAGATTGGAAGGACAGATGTCGGTTAAGGAGGAGGATGGTGGAGGTGACCCTGGGGGGCGAAAATCGTTGGGGGACGATGCGAAGACGGAGGAAATCACGGGTGATGCCTCTGAGCAAGCTGTTCCAGCCAAGACGAATGATGCAAGTGAGGCGATGAACAAAGATGCGGTGACAGAAGGAGCAAACGGAGGGCAAGAAAGGGAGGATGGTGTTGAAGCAAGGGGTGGGGAAATCGACAACAGTGGATCGGATTCGAAAGCAGTGGGGCTTGTAAACCATGGGGGAGGAGATGAAGATGAGTTGCAGAAGCAAGCTCAGGAATCTGAACAAGAGAAAGAGGACGGAGCTGATCAGAGCAGACAGGCAGGTGACGTTCAAGGTGAAGGTGCCCATGCAGAGCCTGAACAGCGTCAAGCTAAACATGGAGCAAGCAAGCAAGAGGAAGAGATGAAAGGTGGAGCCAGGCAAACAGGTCAAGAAGAGAAAGCTGCAAAAGCCTTTGAGCAAGAGGGAAGCGGATCCAAGCAATCGCTGGATCGAAACCTTGAGGACCATTCTGCAGTAGAAAACCACTCGAAAGCCGAAGACATCAATAGTAGTGGCAACCAGGAGAAACAAGCAAAGGAAGCAATACTGGAGCAGACAGCCAAAGATGGGCAACCAGAGCAACAATTTGAGTCTAGAATTGCTATTCAAGCAGGAGGGGAGACAGAAATGAATGGAGAGGTGGGAGGGAAACAGAAAGAAGTGAATGGAGAAGTCGGGAAACCAACCGAGGCAGCCGGACTGGATGGCAGGAGAGGAGAGAAGGGCGAGGACGAAAGTGGAATGCAACCAGGGGGAGGGGAAGAGGAGCAGGATAATGGAGACAAAGGCAACGTCGGGGTTACGAAGCAGGAAAAGGAAGCTGAAGGAGAGGGGAGCAGCCAGCATGGGGACTGTGTGGCAAGGACGCAGGCTGCTGCAGCTGCTGGGACAGAAAAGCAGCTGGAGACAGCTGGGGCTGGGGCAG